TGCCCTCCTTCTTCCTCTACGTGGATTTTGGCGGCTTTAAAGAACAAAAAAGAGCCTTGGAATGAATGCTAGCCTGCAAACCAAAAGGTTGCTGGTTCAATTTCCAGTAGGGCACATGCCTGGGTTGGGAGCTGGATGAGAGGACAACTGATCCAATCAGTGTATCTCTCACACACTTATGTTCTCCCCCTCCCCTCCCCACCTCTAAAAATAAATTGAAAAACCGACAAAAAGGAGTATGCAAGGGAACTTGCAAGGGGAAGCACTAAAACTCTTCTGACTGAATTGTGGCAAGAGAGGGAGCTGAGCTCAGAGGTGGCCAATGGCATTGAGGTATTTAGTGTGTAGCTGTGGTATGTGAGGAGGAAGAAAGGAAGGCTCCAGGTGCAGGTACCTCCTGGGGCTAGGAGACAAAGGAGAAAAAGCCCCCAACCACCCCCCTTAGGCTGGCCTCCTGCAGATTTGTCTGCTCCCCCTCTTCTCTCCCCCTCTGCCCAGAACTCCCCAGAGCTGCTGTTTACTTCTGAAATACAGAGGTGTTAAATTCCTTGGTTTGTGTAGGGAACACAAAGAGCCTTGACTCAACTGATAGGGTTTGAGTAAAACTCTCAAGTGAAGGAAAAGTTGAGTGACATTGTAGATGATGCCCTCTGTAACAATTCAATCTACTATTGTGAAAATGTATAAGAAACTCAATGTGCTAAATGCTTATACTGTAAATAAATGTTCATAAGCAGAGATTTCTCCCACTGAGGGTACTGACCCAAGTAGAGAAGTGCTGAGCCAAATCTCCTCCCATTTGCTACCAGTGTATGTGAGTGTGTGTGGGGGGGGGAGAGAATTTAGTGTGAGCGCTTTTATCCTCTGATATCCAAAGCTTCCACTGTATAGGTGCTGTCCTGGTGGTTGACTGTCAGAAACTGACCTCAGTGTTATCACACTTCTGCTCAATGGACAGAACTTAAGACGGTTCTCTTAAGTCCAGACCCTCTGTTTGATGAAATTTGTTATATTTTTACTGACCCTGAGGCTGTTGCCAATGGCCTAGCTATCTGATCTGCCACTTGAAAGACTACAGACTAGAGGAATAAAAACACCTCTTTGGGGGATCATAGGCTAGAAATAAAGTATGGATGCTGATGGAATTTCTGGGTACTTAGAAAGATGTCCACAGTAAATGTCTTTTCTCTGATAAGACCAACTAAAATCAAGCTGCTGATCAAGCCTGAACTACCCAAGTTGCCATCACATCTGCCATCAGAGACTGGGCACAAAGTAAAGGACTCTGTTTTTGATGCAGAAGCCACTACTATACATCAGACCTGTGACTCTTGCCCACAGATGGAGCATTGATCATCCTTGCTCCTGACAGATTGATTACATCAGACCTTTGACTACCTCCCTCAGTGCTATTGATAGTCTCATGAGTTTCGACATATTTTGAGGTTACTTATTGTTGTTCCAATCTGATCAGCTGACTCCCACCACACCATTGTGGTTTCTGTGTGTCTTATCTGTGTCATGTTTTCAGGTCTCCAACCTGTTTGCAGCCTGACAAATGGTGCAACTCTTTTACTTGTGTCACCCAGTAATTGACCAATAGTCAAAATATTTAATGAACTTTCCACACTTCATTAGTGTCTGATACTGTTGAGCGTTGGGGTGATTTCTGACTCTACTTCCGCTGGTTCACAAACCTTAGTAGAGGCAATTTGGTCATTGAATGCAGTTGTTTTCCTAAAGGGATCTCTTGACAATGATCAAGATGAAAGGTCTGAATGAAAGTAGGGGGAGACTGGAGAAAAGATGAAGTTGGGATGGGACACACCAATTATGCAGCAGTGGAGGGAATGTGCCCAGTCCAGTACTTTGGGAGAGACTACTTTACTTCTCTGGAAATGCAAGGATATAGTGGGACAATTATTCCCACCTTTGTCCCTTAGATCCAGCATTGCCACCTGATTCAAAAAGCAGCTGCACTGGCAATCCAACTTGCTGCTGAGTTTGTAATCCCCTTCCATGTATTATGAAACAGAAAAACTCATGTGGATATGACTGGTCTGAAACTATTTTGCTATTACTGATGCCATCAATGGCAGCTGTAGAAACACACGATCCAGTGCAATGTTGTCTCAATCTAATTCATATATTTTCCAACACCTGAATAGCCTTGGATTATGCCATGTATAAAGATTATTATGATGCTCAGATCATAAAATGAGGTTCAAAAATGTATCAAATGAGGCACCCTTTTTACACTATTCAGACAAGAAAAACAATAAATTTATGAGAAATTGGTAGAACAAAAAATAGTCCTCACAAAGGAATCTAAGCAAGATTTCAGTGTTCATTTTCAAGGAATTTGAACAATGCAGTAAAATAGAAAAGAGGCAATAAGATTATATTAATTATATTATATTATATTATATTTTATATTATTCAGTGAAAATGGTTTGCTCTTTTGCTGCAGCTGTTCCAGAGATCTGTTGGGCTATGATGCCCTCCACTATGATTTGTTCTTCAGTTTGAGCTAATCTGCATTCATTGCAGTAATTTATCAAACTTTTTTGTCCACTATCCTCACCCTTTACTAATTTTATGAATGAATTTACTTTGCATTTTTAATAATTATTTCTATTTGTTTTGGAGAAGCAAACACTTGTGTTCAATTCAGTGTCTTCTACTGCAAAAGTCTCCAATTCAATTTAAATCTATTACCTCTCTAGACCAATATAGCAGTTAAAATACATATTTCTCCCATATATTAAGAGTGGGTGCTTCAGATAGAAGAATCAAGATATGCACTCTGGGAAAGAAGAGCCAGAAGCTGTGTATAATTTCCTAAAGGCAATACATTTGGCCTATTATTATTATTTTATATTCAGCATATGCTGTGAGGGAGAAGGATAATGCATTACCTTAGGCCAGTTTTTCTAGGGCTATAGTTGAGATTTTATCATTTTCAGGCTGCTTTAGGTAAAACTTTTAATGTAAAAATGAGCAAAAGGACCTGGCTGGTATGGCTTAGTGGATTGAGCGCCAGCCTGAAAACCAAAGGGCTGCCAGTTTGATTCCCAATCAGGGCATATGCCTGGGTTGCAGGCCAGATCCCCAGTTGTGGGTGCATGAGAGGCAACCACACATTGATGTTTCTCTCCCTCACTTTCCTCTCCCTTCCCTTCTCTCTAAAAATAAATAAATTAAATATTTTTAAAAACAAATGTGCAAAGCTATATACACATATAGTTGAAATGTAACCTTGCCAGTAATCAAAACATTCACATTAAAACAGTGAGATATCTTTTTTCACTTATCAGAATGTACAAGATTTAAAAGACTATCAATACCCATTATTGGGAAGGTCGAGAGAGTTTGTGGATATATTATTAATACAAGCTGTGTGGAAGGCAGTTTGACAATATGTAACAAAATCCTTAAACAGATTAAATCCTTTTGATCCAAGATTTCCCTTGTATCCCAAGGAAATATCAGAAAAGTATACAAAGATATTTATGCATGGATATTAATCTCAACATTGTCCATGCATGTATGCAACCCCTGAGGGAGTAGAAGACAATAGCCCTAAGGTGGATGGACCCCATGAAAGAGAGGAAGGGCAGAAGACCTGAGCTGTCCTCAACCTCACCTCTGACCAATCAGCTCCCAGCACACTCTGAACCCCTAACCTACAGTGTCCTGTGATTTTGCCCTCCATAATCTGTAACCTACATGCCATTCAAAGAGTTGGAGTTCAGGCTTTTGAGCATTAGCTTCACATTCAGCTGGATAGTGCCATTCATCAATAAAATATTTCTCTACTTCAATTCTCAGTGTTCAGTGTTCGGCACTGCTGGTGCCTGGTGGACAAACTCTTTCTCTTCTATATAACATGATCCTAAGAATTTTACTATACTCATAATATATATTTATAATGTTTTAATTATTTACAATCAGTAAAACAATATTGAAAAATTAAGAAATTTAGAAAAGTTGATCAGCTTCCCTGATAATTTAAAAATGCAAGTTAGAATAATGAGACATAATTATTGCCTATTATATTGGAAAAATTTCAAAAATGGACACAAAATGCTGTATAGAGCCCTGGTTGCTACACACTTCTTTGATGAACCACATAATTAGTAAATTTTTTGACTTGGTACCCTAAATATATGTTTATGTGATTCTTTATGAATAAAGATGGGATCTTATTACTCATACTCTTCTGATACTTCTAAATTCATGTGTACAATGTTGTTCACTAAAACAATTTCAGCATAGAAAAATTAGAAACATTTAGAATGCCCAATAGGGGACTAGTTAATTTTTGAACATTTTTAGTCCGCATATATAGGTGTAATAATCAGTTGTCAAAGAGAGTGAGGTAGGCAGATATTATTGATGTGGTAAGAGCAATAGATCAACATCAAGTCTGAAAGCATATACAGGAAATGCATTCATGGGTGGGGTGGGCAATGTGAAGCTATGCAGGGAATTTGCTTTCCATTGTTCTAATTATCGATGCTGTTGACAATTTATAAAAACTTATTTGTACAACTTTTCCCATTAGATTACCAAAGCTCTAAAACAAAAACCAGAACGTCTCTGGAGTCATTAAAACAGAAAGCATACATTTTAAAGTTCAAAAGAGTAGTAGCTTTTTGTGTATTTGTACTGCCCACAGATGGGCCCTGGAGAAGTTCCTAAAGGAATTTGAAGCAACAGGAAATTGGTTCATGCTTCAGTGCTCAAGATTGTGCTTGTGAAGGACATTGTGTAACGTTTTGAGTAAGTTTCATTTTGCTTCCGTTAAAATTCAAAAATTAAAAAGGACCATCAGCTTAACAAAGCTAGATCACCTTGATAAGCCAGGCGCCCCTCCCCCTTCTCTCCTGCTTCCCTCCCCCACCCCAGGCCTCCTTTTCTCCAATGCAGCCTTCCCCATGTGGGGGATGCACAGTCTCGGGCGCCCCGCCCCGCCCCGCCCCGCCCCGCCCCAAGGGGGTCCCAATACGAACTTTGCCAAGTGGGCCCCAGCGATTGCCTTGCCTGGAGCACTGCAGGGGGAAAGAGGGCTGCCCAGTCAGCCTCCCGCAAGGATTCCTCCCGCGTCCGCCCCTCTGTCCGTAGGTCGGTGTGTCTGCGGAGCCACCTGGAGGCCCTGGGCTCTGTGCGCTGTATGGGACACTACATCAGACCAATGGCGGCGGCAGCGACCCTGTCCGGCCTGGCCGTGCGAGTGCCGCGCTATGCAGCGGCCTGCGGCTACTACCGCACCTTCTGCAAGCGGCTCACGCGCACGCTGCTCATCTTCTTCGACCTGGCCTGGCGGCTGCGCATGAACTTCCCCTATTTCTACGTCGTGGCCTCCGTGATTCTCAACGTCCGCCTGCAGGTACATATTTAGATTAACTAACTTTGTGGCAGTCTCGAGTGCCCGGCAGGATGACTGACTTCCACCCAGCAGTTCACCCTCCCTAGAGCAAAGCCACCAACTGGACTAGCGCACGCAGACTTCGCGGGTCTGTCTTTCCAGTGACTCATCTTTTAATATAAATGTGCGCCTAGAAATCATGATTTACTGAAAGCCTTCAATATAACCAAAAAAGCCTAAGATATAACGAAAAGTTGACTCTCAAGGAACTAGATAATTTAAGAAAGAGAAAAGAACCTAAGAATAAATGAAAAATGTTTGCATCCATAAGACAAAAAAACAGCACAAACTTTAGGATCTGGAGGTCATACCTTTCTTTCATCCCCAAAGAAAAAACAACTGTAAACAGGAACTACAGGGTAACATTTCAAACTGTACAAGGAAAACATGCTTCAAATATGAAGCAACCTCAGATGTGACCTGGTTTGAACAGCTGCCAGAAGTGTGTAAAAGGGAATCTTCTTGAACATTGGCATTCCAGACTGCAATCACAGATGAGAAAATCCAGTCATAGCATTTGACTTTGCTATTCAGTGAAAAATACTGAAATACTGTTACAATGGAAATATTAGTTGTAGTTTCCCATTTTTAGAGTAAATCTCTATGCAAAGCTGGGAAGACGATTACGGTTATGGAACAGAATGGACTATCACCAACTTTGATAGTGTACAAGTACTGGCAGAGGGGAGGAAATGAAATAGTAGTGTTCGTTCATTAAGTGGGAAGTCCAGATATTGTCTCTAGCTCATAGAATACGGGGGAGGGGTCACTTATCACTTTATGTGTTACATAAATGTCCAACCACTGTGCTGTGTACCTGAAACTAATATAATATTGAATGTCAACTATAATTGAAAAATAAAAAATTAGTAAAGAGTAAGACAGATTTAGTGATTATATTAAAATGAGAGAGGTAACAAATATGAGTTAAAAATAGTGATAAAACCAAGTGGAGTGAGGAGGGGAGTGGAGGGGACAGCAGAAAGTCAGCACAAAATTCCTCACATCATCAAGTCAAAAGATAGTAATAACAGTATATTATTAAAAATTGAGAACCAAAGGATCGAGGTTCAGTTCCCAGTCAAGGTACATGCCTGGGTTGCAGACCAGTTCCCATCAGGGGACCCATGAGAGGCAACCATACATTGATATTTCCCTCTCTCCTTCCGTTCCCCTCTAAAGATGAATAAATAAAATCTTTTTAAAAAATTGAGGTGATCACTAAACAGGCATGTGTAAAAGTTTTGCCTCTGGGTTGGGGAGTAAGAGTTGAGAGGGATAGGCTTGTATTTACTACTTTTCTCACACACACGGACACACACACACATATATTTGCCTTTAAAAGTATATGTGCATGTATTACTTTTATTAAAAATTTAAAATTATTTTATAATAAATTTACTTCATTTATGCTCTGGCTACAAGCACATGGCTCAGTTAGTTGGAGCATTATTCTGTGCTCCAAAAGGTTGTTGGTTCAATCCTTGGTTAGGGTACATGTGTAGGTTGTTTGCAGTGTTTGATCCCCAGTTGGGGTGTGTAAGGGAGGCAACTGGTCAACGTTTCTCTCCTACATCAATATTTCTTGCCCTTCCTCTCTTTCTAAAATCAATCAGTAAATTATTTAAAATTAAGAAAAATAAACAAATGTATTACAATTAGAAATAGACTTGGAGGCAGGGGAGTTGGAGAATGGCGCATGAAGCCAGGTAGATTCTGCCTTCCTATTTTTCTATAATATTGTATGTATATCTTAAATGTTCCTGAATGACCACACAAAATAGAATTTCCTTGCTTTCCAAGCAAACAATTAACCATAAGGAAATGCTTTAAAACTAAAAGTGGCCAGTAACCTTTATATAGCCCAGAGTTTCCTTGCTCTATGAAACTTTGCATGAGCAAGTCTCCACAATGTCAGAGGTAAGGTAAAAACAAAAGAAAATGTGATAATTTAAAAAAATTTAAATTATTTTATTGTTCAATTACAACTGTCTGTATTTTCTCCCCACCCCCTCCAAACCTGCCTCCCTCCCTTGCTTCCACCCTTCTCCTTGGTTTTGTCCATGTGTCCTTTATAGGAGTTTCTGATAATTTTTTTAAAACTTAAACTTTTTCAAAATTTAAAAAATTGATAAATGCCCTATGATGTTTACACAGAGTTCTTAACATTTCAGTATTAGAAAGCAAGAGAGCGGGAATAAACTAAATGTACAATAGTAGGAGCTTGGTTAAATAAAAATAGAATATCTTTCTAATGGAATACTTTCTAGCCATAAAAAAAGGGATTATATTTTATCCAGGTGGAATGAATTTAACAGAGGTGAGCCAGATAAAATAATCACTTTCTCCTCAGAAAACACAGATTTTATCCGTTAACAGATCAACTATATATATTTCTAAACAGAGTTGAACATTTTAATTTGCAAGAGCACAGACTTCTGGGTTTTTTTGTTTGTTTCACTTTTCAAATCATTTTCTCTAATTCACTGAAGGTAAAATTCCTCTCATCCCACAGCCACCCCCTACCCGCCCCTGACCCCCCCCAAAAAAAAACAGCTAGTGAAACTATGTCATCCTTAAATTTCTTTATTTTTAATTTTTTGTATTTATTTACTTTTAAAAATTTTATTGTTCAAGTACAGTTGTCTGCATTTCACCCCCACCACTTCCTCCCCACCCCAGACATGCCCACCTCCCCTGATTCCACCCCCCTTGATTTTGTTGGTTTTGTCTAAGTGCCCTTTATAGTTGTTCCTGAAATCCCTTCCCCCCTATTTTTAGAGAAAGGGGAAGGGACTGAGAAAGAGGGAGAGAAACATCAGTGTATGGTTGCCTCTGGAGCACCCCCTACTGTGGACCTGTACTTAAACTTTTTAAGTAAGACTGCAATCCAGGCATGTGCCCTGACTGGGAGTTGAACCAGTGACCATTTGGTTCTCAGGCTAGAACTCAATCTGCTGAGCCACACAAGCCAGGGCTCATCCTTAAGTTTATTAGCCTGTTCCATTCTATAATTGAACAACCTTCATGAGATGAGAATCTCTGGTAACTTTTGGCATAGGCTTAACAGTCGAGATCAATACAGTTCCTTTGAGCATTGCTACTGCTACCATTACCCTGGAGCAGCAATGAATGTCCTTTTAACTTCTGATTCTCTAAAGAAACAGTCCTTTGAAATCACCAAATGTGAGGGAGCTAGTCTCTTACATTCCATATCTGTTCTACCTTCACTCTCATTTCCCCATTCTTTCCTCCAGGCGCTCTCCTGGTACCACCAAACTTGATTTTACAGGCACAGAGGGAAGTTCCAGGCCCTGGAGACCTTCAGGCTGGCCTGTGCCCCAGGCTTTATGTTGTAATCCCTGACCCTCTTCCAGTTCCACAGTTTCCTGACTACCTTCAGACTCAAACTGGGTCTGGTCACCAGAATGAGTTCCTGGCATTGGCTCCCTTTGCCAGCAACTCAGAGAGACCATCTCTAGAATCCAAGTTCCCAGTACAGGCATACTTTGTTTCACTGTACTTTACAGATGTGGGCACTTTTGTAAAAATTGAAAATAAGATCCTCCACCAGGAAAAAGATTATAATGCATTTATTGTGATATTGCTTTATTGAGGCAGTCTAGAACAGAACCCACAGTATGTTTGACATGCATATATAGAGGTGGGAGTGGTCAGAGACTTGTAAACATTCTGTCTTTCAAGACATGACTTACCACAAGTCCTCACTTTCAGTAGTTTTATTGCAAATTTAAGAGCTTCATTTCAAATGCTTCCTGAAAAATGCTTGGGAACCTAGAAGTCAAGTTTGTAAGCCAAATTTTGATGAACCAAAGAATATGAATGATTCTGGGCAAGGCACCCGAAGTCTTAAAACATAGAGGCTCCAGAGCAAATGAGGATATCCCATATTCAGGGGCTTTTCTGAGTATTAATATCTTTCCATCACCTGTGTTTCCATCCCAAGTACTCTCGTGGTCAGAAAAAGCAAATCTCTGTGATTTTTGGCAGTTACCAAAAGGAGGGGGAGGTAGGTGCACAGCAAAGTATTATGGATAATAATTACCTTTTACTCTGTATTCTCAGCATGTACAAACACACTTTTTACACTGAATCAAAAAATGCCCCCTCCTGACATAATTGAATTACTCCATGTACAGCCAAAAACTACCCAGAGAGAGACGACACATACAATCCATGCCCAGTTACCATAGTCAGAGGGGAGGTCATGGAACCTCAGTTTGTAGTTCAAGTACTCCTGGTGATGTCTCTTCGTTCTCTAGCTCTGCCATTATCCTTCCTTGATATTCTACAATTCCATGACAAATGGTGAATTCACCACCAGAAACATCACTCTATGCTATTTACAATACTAAAAAAGTGAGAGAAGTTTTTAAAAATGGCAGTAAGCATGGAAATGCAGATAGAAGGTACAGTCCTTATTTCTGCTCATAGCCATGACATGGCCATTATTTGTGACAGACTTCTCTATTGGTTCCATATACCATTTGCTTTATCTACTGGGGGGGGTCTCAGTTTTTCATTTGTAAAAAGTCTGAGCCATTGGCAGTCATTTGTAGGGTTGCAGTATTCTGCTGTGCATGCCCTCAAGATTGTATAAGATAGCACCTTAGGAGATTCCAAGTTGTCATCCATATTCCTCCCTGTCCTCATCCTATAGCATGCACACCATAACCACCTGTTTGGAATGTCTCCAAGAGCTAAGAATGCCTTCAGATTTAGGGAACCCATTGTTTCATCCCAAAGTGGATGTGTTTCTTCTAAAAAAGTTTTACTTTTAAAGCAGCAGAGATCAAAATTGCAGGGACTGGAATTAAAACTGTTGCAGATGAATGAGGGTTATTTTTATAATTATGAGAGGCATCACCTTTATTTCCACGCCTCTGTTTCTAGACTTGCAAACCTTGGCAATGGGAGAAGCGGCACTGTATGTAGGTTGTTGGTTTGTAGTATATATTACATCCTAGCAGCCTCTACTGTGATTCTCCTGTCAGGGCTTGCCACAGGCTCTATAGAGCATAACATTTTACTCCCACGATTTTGATCACCATTGGATTTGCTAGATGCTAAAGGCTAGAGGCAGACCTACTAGCATGGTGATTTGCAATAGCTGGAGAGCCTGTTTTACCTGTGAATCCACATTAGCCTGTTTGTGGTAAGAATAGCACCTGTATTCTTCAAGTCTTGGAATGGCAAAACTATCTGTGAGGCAGGAGACAATATAGGAAGAACTCTGAGACTGCACTGATGTTGCTGACCAGTGTCTCGCATCCTGGTTACCAGGCAACACCTTTTACCACTTAGATCAAATAAATAGTAAACCAAGGCAGGGAGGAGGCTGGAGACAAGTCTCACATAATAACTCAGCAGTCCTGAGCCTGGTTTGATAATATTGCTGGGTGTTCCAACATCACAAGAAACACTATGTTAGCAAGAAAAAAGGGAAGTCCTTGAAATTCTATGTAGCGTTTCCACTATCTGGGAAAGAAAGCCTTGAAACTGCTTTCATCCCAAGGCCTGGAATGTGGGAGAGGGTCCAAGGTGCCCAAATAAGGAGCCCATAAAACAACTTTGGTTAGTTGTCTACCTCTGGTCACTCTCTGTTTTACGAGGGAGTCCCTGATGCTTACAGAAAAAGCCCATAAATAACTTTGGAAAGTGCCCCAACCTTAGTGAACTGCCTCCTGTCACGTATTTGTTTTACAACGAGATGAACAAATGGAGTCTGGAGTGAGATAAGGATTTGGACTAACAGACCCCCACACATACCTACGTTTAGGTAGTCACATTCCCCCAGGAAAGCTGGCACCACTTTTACCTATTAATCAATATGTAATTTTTTCTCCTATCCCACCAACTACAT